CAACTCACATCTACTGGTAAAACACATACCTCAATCTAAGTCGCACGTCATATATAAAAATTATAGATCAGGGCTGAAAAGCAAATGGATTACAGATAATGGACCTAAATGTAAAGTGTATAATTACAATTTTTAGAAGAAAACAGAGGAAAAAATCTTGCAATCTGGATTAAGCAAAGAGAGTTTAGACTTTACGCCAAAAACCCAATCCTTAAAAGAAAAAATGACAAATTAGACTTAATCCAAATTTTAAATTTTTGCTCTGCTAATGACCCCATTAAGGGGATAGAAAGACAAACTACATGAATTACGGTGATTACCAGACGCTGGGAAGCGACGATGGGGTGAAGAGAGGTTGGTTAATGGGAAGAAATATACAGTTAGATAGAAGCAGATAGAAGACATAAGCTCTACTGTTCAATAGCACAATAGAAAGTCTACAGTTAACGTGCCGGGCGCGGTGGCTCAAGCCTGTAATCCCAGCTCTTTGGGAGGCCGAGGCGGGTGGATCACGAGGTCAAGAGATCGAGACCATCCTGGTCAACATGGTGAAACCCCGTCTCTACTAAAAATACAAAAAATTAGCTGGGCATGGTGGCGCTTGCCTGTAATCCCAGCTACTCAGGAGGCTGAGGCAGGAGAATTGCTTGAACCCAGGAGGCGGAGGTTGCGGTGAGCCGAGATCGCGCCATTGCACTCCAGCCTGGGTAATAAGAGCGAAACTCCGTCTCAAAAAAAAAAAAAAAAAAAAAAAAAAAAAAAAAAAAGTCTACAGTTAACAAAAATTTACCGTATACTTCAAAACAGAAGAGAAGATGTGGAATGTACCAACATGAAGACATGATAAATGAGGTGATCAATATTCTAATTACCCTGATTTGACAATTACACATTGTGTGCTTATATCAAAATAACACATGCACCCCATAAATATGTACCACTACTATATATAGATTAAAAATTTTCAAATACTGGCCAGGCACGGTGGCTTATGCCTGTAATCCCAGCACTTTGGGAGGCCGAGGCGGGTGGATCACGAGGTCGAGAGATCGAGACCATCCTGGTCAACATGGTGAAACCCCGTCTCTACTAAAAATACAAAAAAAAATTAGCTGGGCATGGTGGCACGTGCCTGTAATCCCAGCTACTCAGGAGGCTGAGGCAGGAGAATTGCCTGAACCCAGGAGGCGGAGGTTGCGGTGAGCCGAGATCGTGCCATTGCACTCCAGCCTGGGTAACAAGAGCGAAACTCCGTCTCAAAAAAAAAAAAAAAAAAAAATTTTCAAATACTAAATTATATCCTCTGACCACCCCCACAAAAAAAAAAAAAGACTACATAGTGGAAGAAAATATTTGCCAAACACATACCCAGCAAAGTACTAGTATCTAGAAGTTGTAAAGATCTCTCAAAACTCAACAGTAAAAAAGCAAAATGGTTCAATTAGAACACAGACAAAAGTTATGAAGAGCCACTTCATAGAAGAGAATGTAAAGATGGCACATAAGCATATGAAAAGATGTTCAACATTATTAGCCATTACAGAAACACAAATTTAAACCATAATGAGATACCACTGCACACCTATAAGAACGGTTAAAATAAAACAGACAATACCACATCTTGGTAAGTTTTGGAGAATGTAGATTACTCACTGAACGGTTTGGCCGTGTCCCCACCCAAATCTCATCTTGAACTCCCACGTGTTGTGGGAGGGACCAAGTGGAAGGCAACTGAATCACGGGGGCAGGTCTTTCCTGTGCTGTTCTCATGACAGTGAGCAAGTATCACGAGATCTGATGGTTTTATAAGGGGGACTTTCCCTGCACAAGCGCTCTTGTCTGCTGCCATGTGAGACGTGCTTTTCACTTTCTGCCATGATTGGGAGGCCTCCCTAGTCACATGGAACTGTAAGTCCATTAAATCTCTTTCTTTTGTAAATTGCCCAGTCTCAGGTATGTCTTCATCAGCAGCATAAAAACAGACTAATCCACTCATACATTGCTGGTGGGAATGTAAACGACACAGCCACTCTGGGAAGGACAGAGTAGTTTCTTTTAAAACTAAATATGGGCCGGGCGCGGTGGCTCACGCCTGTAATCCCAGCACTTTGGGAGGCCGAGGCGGGTGGATCACGAGGTCAAGAGATCGAGACCATCCTGGTCAACATGGTGAAACCCCGTCTCTACTAAAAATACAAAACATTAGCTGGGCATGGTGGCGCGTGCCTGTAATCCCAGCTACTCAGGAGGCTGAGGCAGGAGAATTGCCTGAACCCAGGGGGCGGAGGTTGCGGTGAGCCGAGATTGCGCCATTGCACTCCAGCCTGGGTAACAAGAACGAAACTCTGTCTCAGGAAAAAAAAAAAAAGAAAGAAAAAATGTGATATATACATATGTGGAGTATTATTCAACCTTAAAAAGGAAGGAAATTCTGACACATACTACAACATAGATGAACCTGAGAACAGTATGTTGAGTGAAATAAACCAGTCATAAAGAGGCAAACACTGCTTAATTCCACTTATATGAGGTATTTATAGTCATATTAATAGGGACTAAAAGTAGAATGGAGGTTGCCAGTTGTTGAGGGGAAGGGTAAATCGTGAGTTATTATTTAATATATAAGGAATTGGCCGGGCGCGGTGGCTCAAGCCTGTAATCCCAGCACTTTGGGAGGCCGAGGCGGGTGGATCACAAGGTCGAGAGATCGAGACCAACCTGGTCAACATGGTGAAACCCCGTCTCTACTAAAAATACAAAAGATTAGCTGGGCATGGTGGCGCGTGCCTATAATCCCAGCTACTCAGGAGGCTGAGGCAGGAGAATTGCCTGAACCCAGGAGGCGGAGGTTGCGGTGAGCCGAGATCGCGCCATTGCACTCCAGCCTGGGTAACAAGAATGAAACTCCATCTCAAAAAAATAAATAAATAAATAAAAATTAAAAAAAAATAAAATAAATACATATAAAAAAATATATATATATATAAGGAATTACAGTTTGGGAAGATGAAAAAGTTCTACAGATTGGATGTACAACAATGTAATTGTACTTAACACCACTGAACTTCATACTTAAAGCTGTAAGTGTTTTACCACAATTAAAAATAAAAATTAAAAACATTTACAAACAAGACATTCATAATGGTGACTTTTAGTGCACTGGGCAGAAACTATCAGAGTAAGAAAACAGCACTGACTTATCGAAATCTCTGTACTGTGCTCGCCATGGCATTTACTAGGTACTACAGAATTGAAAGCTGAAGACCAAACCTCATTAGGTACTGAATTAACAGCATGCCCTTGTGTTATTCTGGTTAAAGCTACCAACGTTTAATAAGAAATACTAGCAGGCCGGGCGCGGTGGCTCAAGCCTGTAATCCCAGCACTTTGGGAGGCCAAGGCGGGTGGATCACAAGGTCAAGAGATCGAGACCATCCTGGTCAACTTGGTGAAACCCCATCTCTACTAAAAATACAAAAAATTAGCTGGACATGGTGGCACGTGCCTGTAATCCCAGCTACTCAGGAGGCTGAGACAGGAGAATTGCCTGAACCCAGGAGGCGGAGGTTGCGGTGAGCCGAGATCGCGCCATTGCACTCCAGCCTGGGTAACAAGAGCGAAACTCCGTCTCAAAAAAAAAAAAAAAAAAAAAAAAAGAAATACCAGTTTTAGCTCCTTTGTGTTTGGGAATGGTCACAGTATGCAGTAGATGCTGACATGTATGTGTTGAGCATCAGAGTACAAGGGTGTGTGCCACAACTCTGGTGGGGCAAAAGCAAGTTATGGAACTGGGTAACCTGGCTAACTCGTTCCCATCCTTAGCCTTCCTTCTCCAAGTTCAAAGTCATGTCAGCCGGGCACAGTGGCTCATGCCTGTAATCCCAACACTTAGGGAAGCTGAGGCAGGAGGATCACTTGAGGTCAGGAATTTGAGAGTAGCCTGGGCAACATAGTGAGATCCTGTCTCTACAAAAAATTACAAAACTTAGCTAGGTGTAGTGTCATGTACCTGTAGTCCCAGCTGCTCAGGAGACCGAAGTGGGAGGATCGCTTGTGCTCAGGAGTTTGAGGCTACAGTGAGCAATGATTGCGCCACTGCACTGAAGTTTAGGTGACAATGCAAGACCCTATCTCTAAAAATGAAATAAGATAAAGTCATGTCGAATGAACTGTGCAGAAAGCAAAGTGCTCAGCTTCTTACATTCTGCTGAGACACGATCATAGCGTGTCTACTGTTTTTCAGTTTTCTTTCTATTGGGTGAGGAGTAACTAAACAAAAGCAGGAAACACACCTCCTGTTCCCATGTGAGGGGATGATGTTGCCAGAACTAAGTGTCATGCCGGCCAGCGGAAAGTGTCAGGAGGGAAAATGAAGGCGGTACTGCCAGAGAGCACAGCCAAAGGCGGCAACTGGGCTGGAAAGAGGTGAGCAGGATCCCCTGCGGGCCCAGCCCCCAGCCCGGACTCTGACTCCTCAGAGCACCTGAATAAGCAAGTGTTAGACGAAAACACAAACAAGAACATCTGAGGGAATTCTGGAATGACTCGTCACATAGATCTGTAGCAGGACTGAAATCACCTGTGCTTTCTCCCCTCCACTTCCTGGTATTTCTAACATATAACTAACTATTAAATTTTTTGAAAAATTCTCTGAAAAATAAAAGAACAGAGAGACCTCCTTTTTCACAAGAGGGGAACTTAGACATGCGGAGAGGCCCATCCGTGGGGACTCATGGGCCTTTGCTTCCTGCTGCTGTCTGCACAAAGCTTCCTGAAGGTGCCCTGATGACAGTCAACCCAGTGAGCGGCTGGGACTAGAAGAGCCGGTGGAGAAACAGTGTGTCTCTTAAGGCCACACTCTGTCTATTTTAGCTTTTCTGGGCTGGGACTGAACATCCGGTGCGGCAGTTGGAAGCTGGCTGGGGTCCTAGGAAAGCTGCCCTGTAGCCTACAGAGAGGTAAATACGGGACTTTCAAGGACTCCTGTAGAAATCACTCACCGGGGGTAGCTGCAGGGTGGTCACCACCTGCTGGGTGTCCCGTACATTCTCTTCCTGAAGAAGGAAAGCATCTTGCAGAACTGAAAGAAATCAGAAAAGGGTGTCCCAAAGGGGGCCAGGGCCAGGCCTAGTGCCACCTCCTGAGCTTCCTGGGGCTCTTCATTTCAGTTGTGGTAGCCAAGAAAAACACAAGAGAGGCACCAAGAGGGAGCTATTTCATGGTGCTTTTCATAAAACCCCAGGCTCTGTTCTTACCTGTAAAATGAGGATTACAAAATGATGTACACAAAAAGCACTCTGTAGCTACTAAGATTGCTGCGTCTTTGTTTTCAGATATAATAAAGGGCGCTATAACAGAGTGTGCCTGGCTGAGTTCATGAAAGCACGGTCAATTATATTAACTCTTTCACTTCGGGTTAAGTACTCAGACCTCAGCATTGTTATCCAAAATATGGGAAAATAAAGGTTAAAACTCTACAGAGTTCAACCGTGGGAAGTGATGCATGCCTGTAATCTTAGCTGATCCTATTCTGGGAACTAAGGTGGGAGAATCACTTGAGCCCAGGAGTTCCAGACCAGCAAGGACAACACAGAGAGTATTTTTCTCTTAAAAAGAAAAAGAGCCGCCAGGCGCTGTGGCTCAAGCCTGTAATCCCAGCACTTTGGGAGGCCGAGGCGGGTGGATCACGAGGTTGAGAGTTTGAGACCATCCTGGTCAACATTGTGAAACCCCGTCTCTACTAAAAATACAAAAAATCAGCTGGGCATGGTGGCGCGTGCCTGTAATCCCAGCTACTTGGGAGGCTGAGGCAGGAGAATTGCCTGAACCCAGGAGGCGGAGGTTGCGATGAGACGAGATCGTGCCATTGCACTCCAGCCTGGGTAACAAGAGTGAAACTCCGTCTCGAAAAGAAAAAAAAAAAAGAGCCGGGCGCGGTGGCTCAAGCCTGTAATCCCAGCACTTTGGGAGGCCAAGGCGGGTGGATCACAAGGTCGAGAGATTGAGACCATCCTGGTCAACATTGTGAAACCCCGTTTCTACTAAAAATACAAAAAATTAGCTGGGCATGGTGGCACATGCCTGTAATCCCAGCTACTCGGGAGGCTGAGGCAGGAGAATTGCCTGAACCCAGGAGGCGGAGGTTGCGGTGAGCCGAGATCGTGCCATTGCACTCCAGCCTGGGTAACAAGAGCGAAACTCCGTCTCAAAAAAAAAAAAAGAAAGAAAAAGAAGGCCGGGTGCTGTGGCTCAAGCCTGTAATCCCAGCACTTTGGGAGGCTGAGGCGGGTGGATCACGAGGTCGAGAGATCGAGACCATCCTGGTCAACATGGTGAAACCCTGTCTCTACTAAAAATACAAAAAATTAGCTGGGCATGGTGGTGCGTGCCTGTAATCCCAGCTACTCAGGAGGCTGAGGCAGGGGAATTGCTTGAACCCAGGAGGCAGAGGTTGCGGTGAGCCGAGATGGCGCCATTGCACTCCAGCCTGGGTAACGAGAGTGAAACTCCGTCTCCAAAAAAAACAAACAAACAAACAAACAAAAAAAACAACAACTCCGTCTAAAAAAAAAAAAAAAAAAAAAGCAGCAGCAGAAAAAGAAGAAAAAGCTATAGAGTTGAGGAATCTCTAAGGATTGTTCGGGTCTGGATGTGGTGGCTCATGCCTGTAATCCCAGCACTTTGGGAAGCCAAGGTGCGAGGACTGCTTAAGCTAAGGAGTTCGAGACCAGCCTGGGCAACACAGCGAGACATCACTTCTACTAAAAACCAGAAAACTGGGAAGCTGAAGCAGAGGATTGCTTGAGCCTGAGAGATCGAGGCTGCAGTGAGCCACAGCTACCACCACTGCACTCCAGCCTGGGCGACAGAACATGGCTCTGTCTCAAAAGAAAAAAAAAGGTAAGGGCTATTGGCAATCAGAATAGCTGTGGAACTCCAGAAAAGAGAAGGAAAATCCTGTCATCAGTGACAACATGGAAGAACCTGAAGGACATGCTACAAGCAATCAGCCGGGCACAGAAACAGAGATACGGCATGTTCTCACTTAAACGTGGACTCTAAACAAGTTCGACTCATAGAAGCAGAGAGCAGAGTGCTGGTTGCCAGAGGGTAGGGAATGGAGGGACTGGGGGGCATTGGCTAAAGGGTGCACAATTTCAATTACGTGAGGAATAAGTCCAGGAGTCCTTTTGCACAACATGGTGACTACAGGCAGTAACAACGCACGACGTACTTGAAGACTGCTTAGAGAGTAGATCTGAAGTATTTTCACCACACACACAAAAAGGACAGGTATGTAAGGTAACACATTATATTAACTAGCTTGAATTTTTTTTTTTTAAGAGACTAGTCTCACCATGTTGCCTAGGCTGGAACAGAACTCCTGAGCTCAAGGGATCCTCCCATCTCAGCCTCCTGAACTACAGGTGTGCCACCATGCCTAGCTAATTAGCTTGATTTAGTCATTTCACAATGTGTATAGATATCAAAGCATCACACTGCACACCGTAAATACATATAATTTTTTGTCCATCTCAAAACAGAAATTAAACAAAAAAAGAAAAACTGTTATCACTGTAGGCACTGTGAAAAAGCATTTGGCACAGTACCCTAAAGACCCTCATACAAAGTGCTGAGTGTGGCTTTCGGACAATCTCACCAGCCTACGAGGGACTCTGCCACTTTCTGTCCTGTGATTGGAAACTACACCTTGCGCAGGCTTCTGCAATGAGCCCCATCCCCTGCCAACAGTGTGGCCATGTAAAACGGACTCTGTGTTTCAGAAGGCACTCCTTTCTCAGAGTAAGACTAGGAGAGCTGCGCTACAGTCTACTGGTTAATGCTAGGTCACATGTTAAGTCATTACCAAAGCAAACCCCAGAAGCCAGGGCCTGGGACCTTTCAGACCTGGATACGAAGGCTTCAGAACGGCAGCTGCAGGAGTGGCTATGTGGAGCTAAGGCCTGGGGCAGGAACCCATGAAGATGGCAGTGCCATTCTAGGGGTCCCAGTGCAAGGCAGCCTCTTCCCAGTGTCCGAAGGGAAGCTCAGGCTGGACGGGTGTAGATCTGAGGACGTGGTATTTCTTGTGTGTATGTTCTGTTTTGAGTTTCTATCTTCATTTAACTGCCTTTTACCTCCCAGTTTTATTGAGGTATAACTGAGAAAAACTGTATGTATTTTGCGTATAAAAACTCTACAATGTGGTAAGTATACACTGTGAAATGATTAAATTAACCTAATTAACAAGCTTCATGTATTTTTGTGATGAGAACATTTGTTATTTACTTTCTTAGCAATTTTCAAGTATAAGATTCACTGTTTTTAATCACCATCACCATGCTGTACCATCGATCTCCAGAATTCATTCATCTTATCTAATAGAAACTTTGTACTGTTTGACCAACATCCCCTAGAGGGGTATTTTACTTTTTAGAGGTGGGGCCTCAATATGTTGCCCAGGTTGGTCTCGAACTCCTGGCCTCAAGCGATTCTTCGGCTTTAGCTCCCTGCGTAGCTGGAAGCACAGGTGAGAGCCACCGAGCCTGGCTAGGAGGTGGTGTTTTCATTCTGCTCCCTCGCACCTGCCGCCTTCTGGGACATGGACATGTAGACATCCTACATGTGTGTACATGGATGAATACGTAGCCCTGCCCTACTTCTGGCCCTGATAAATGAATACACAGACTCTTCCGAGAATCACTTCAGAGAGTTGCAGCCCTACACAGAATCTAGCTTTTGGGGAAGGCCTTCAAGATGAGGAACTATAGAGCTCTGACGGGTAGTACATTCCAGTCGGAAACTGTCCTAAGAGTCAAGGTTGTCCTGACTGCGAACTCTCCTCCCATCTGCTTTGCCTACTCATTATTGCTCATGGAAACGGGACAGCTGGCCCTGTTGTCCCAGAGCCCACCTGCGTTGCTGGCTTACCTCAGAACTTTACCAAGAAGCAACTGCACAGGCTGTTGTGGTTCCTGAAACTCCTTCCCCCACTCCACCGTGCCTTCCCAGACCCCATTACAAGGCCGCTCACAGCCCCCCACTTCCTGCATAACACAAGCCACTTGCACGTGCATTGCTGATGTGGGCGACTGGCTGCTTCCCTTATGCCTGTTGTTACGGGGCTAGGTTATGCCCCTCTCAAATTCCCATGTTGAAGCCCTAACCCTTAGGTTCCTCAGAATGTGACTGTATTTGCAGACAGGGTCTTTAAAGAAGTAATTAAGAGAAAATCAGGCCATACTGGTGGACCCTAATCCAATATGACTGCTGTACTTATAAGAGGAGATCAAGACACAGACACACACAGAGGAAGGACCATGTAAAGATACGCAGAGAGAGACAGTATCTATTACACCTGCTCTACAAACTTTTAGTGTAAACATCTTCTTCCTTTCCCTGAAAAAAAACTGCCCTTCATCCAGAGTCCTGGCACAAAGCTTGTTGTCGGCTTTCAGGGCTGGTTAGTCACAGGTTTTACGGGTCCCAAGGACAGCCAGTGGCGTAAGAGATTTCCCCTCCCAGCTCCTTCTTTCCTTCTTTCTTGAGACGGAGTTTCACTGCTTTTTTCCCAGGCTGGAGAGCAATGACGTGATCTCGGCTCACTGCAACCTCCGCCTCCCAGGTTCAAATGACTCTCCTGCCTCAGCCTCCCAAGCAGCTGTAATTACAGGTGCCCACCACTACACATGGCTAATTTTTATTTTTAACAGAGATGGGTTTTCACCATGTTGGCCAGGCTGGTTTCAAACTCCTGACCTCAGGTGATCTGCCCACCTCAGCCTCCCAAAATGCTGGGATTACAGGGATGAGCCACCACGCCGGCCCCTAGCTCCTTCTATATGTCTATCTGCAAACTTCTCTTAGTGTTAACATCAGACCTGTCTACAAGCCAAGAAGAAAACGTTCTGAAGAACCCAAGGTTGCTGATATTTTTGGCTTCAGACTTCCAGCCTCCTGAACTGTGAGAGAATACATTTCTGTTACATAAGCCATCCAGTCTGTGGTACTTTGCTATGGTAGCAAATTATCACACCAATATTGACTTTCAGCAAGAAGAGGCAGAAGAGTTTATGTGGTTTGCACAGAAGCCACCATAGTTTTTCCACACAGAGAAATTTAATAGGCATTTTGGTTTTACTATGGAAAAGTTTACCATAACACCAAACATGACTTCCACAAATCATCAGAAAGCATCCCTGGCCCCCCAGACACTTTTTTTCCATTGTACCTATAGAGCACGTGGCAAAAGGAACTCATGTGCCCAACTTCCTTCAATCCAAGGGCGCCCATTTCCCAGGACAAGTACTTCAAGTTAAATTTTGGGCACCTCAGAAGTTGCGCTAAACCTTTTACAGGCTGTATCTCATTTAATCTTCTAAAAACCCCAAAAAGGGTAATTACCATCTCTGTTGGACAGAGGAAGAAACCGAGGCTTTCAGAGTTTAGAAGTACGCCTCAGGTCAAACCCAAAGATTCAACTCTAAGTTTATCTGATGACAAAACTACCTTCTGTACCCACCGTGTACTTTGTATACATACTCAAACCAACTCTAGCTGATGTTCTGGCCCCACACAGTAGATTCCACCCTATGTCCTCCAAAATCTTTTTATATCTTTTTGCAGCATCACAATGATTCTGTAGACAGGAGTTGTTTAGCCAAAGAAACAGGTTCCAAGGGACAAGAAGAGATGGTTATGCTCAGTTCATGCAGCAAGCCCTAGCTGTCATGCAGCTGACATATGCTGCAGAGATGCACCCTCAAAGAGATTGAGAGGGCACAACTTCACAACACCCACTACAGAAGAGTTCCCTCTGAGAGGATCCAGAACCCCGAAGAGGACAAACATGCTGATGAGGTTCCCATTTACTGCTCTAGGAAGGGACTCAGACCCTGCTAACAGCTCACAGATAGGAGAAAACTGCTGATGGAAAAGCCATCAGCTTAACAAAAACCACACCCAGTGCACAGTATGGGGTATGCACTCCCCCAGACTACCCCTCCTACACACCCCTGGGCTGCATACCTGGGTCGCCACTGAGCTGGCTTGATGGTCTGCCTGGGAGCCCCAGGCACTGTGCCAGGGCCATGGGCTGGGCATCCTGGCTCTTTGCAAGGTCGCTGTGGGGCTCTACCGGCAGCTGTTCCTGCTCCTGGTCCAGAGGGCTGTCCCCATCATCAATCACCACAGGGTCTTCACAGTGCTTGAGCTGTAATCCCAGAGAGAGCTTTTCAGGGCTAGGTGAAGAGGTCCCATCTCTCCCTGGGTCTGGTGACCACAGTAGACCACCAAAGGCTCAACTTAGGCCTTGGACTGGGCAGTAAAGGGGGATGACACTATCACACCCAAATTAGAGCCTTCAGGGAGTAACACTTGCTTTCTTAGGAAACTCTAGTCTGGGCCTAACCAAAGTACATGGCTCCAGATGGAACTCCTTGCTCCCCATGCGGATGCATGGCCCAGCCAAACTGTCTGAGCACCAGCTCTCTCCCAGTGCCAGCTCCACGCCTTCTACTCACCCACTGCCAGGGTCTCCCCGGCTCCAGTTCCAGTGCCTCCACTGCGGCCACAGCCTGCTCCCCGCTCTCAGGCTCCTGGGCCCGCACCCAGCTCTGGATCTCCCGGGGCAGGATGGCCAGGAACTGCTCCAGCACCAGCAGCTCCAGAATCTGCTCCTTGGTGTGCCTCTCTGGCCGCAGCCAACCCCGGCACAGGTCCCAGAGGCGCTGCAGGGCCTCCCGGGGGCCCGCCGCCTCCTGGTAGCGGAAACGGCGGAAGAGGCGCCGAGAGGACTCGGGGCTGGGAAGCTCCCCCTGGGGGTTAGCGTTCTCTCCCGGTGGGCTCCTCATTTTCCTGGGCTCCTCACTTTCCTTCGGAGCCAAGACTCGGGGGCACAGGGCTGTGGGCATGATGGGATTTGATGGGGGTCAGCGGCAGAAGACGACCCTATTTCCAAACAGAAATCACTGGCTTCAGTGTTCTGGTCTCCTGCGGTCGTTTCTGGGGGATAGTGACAAGGAAACTGTCAACGCCCTCAGATACCAGCCCTTTGGAGAAGCCCTGGGAAATGCAGGGAGTGTTGGTGTCGCTGGGCTTTGCACACAGGATGAAACAGACAGAAAGGTGCCCTCCCCTCCCCCACCCACGACAGTACCATTAAGTGTGGATTCCCCTAAGTCAGTGACTGGGTGAACAAGGCTGGAAATCTGGGAGAAAAGTGGTGGCATTTCGACGTGACACTGGTGTTCTGAGCATCTCAGGAAACCAACAGCTGCCACATGCAGATGTAATCAAGATTCTCTGGTACCTTGAGTGGCTGGGTCCTCCTGGAGAGCGCTGCGATGGGCAGGCCAAGCAGGCCACTATCTTGAAGGTTTGGAGCCGAAGTCACTGTTCTTGCTCTTAAGACCTTTACAAACAGAGCTGGGAAAACAAAGACAGATACGCACTGGATGAGGCTTCAAAAGCACATCCAGGAATAGAAAATCCACCCTGCTGGTGGCGGAGGGCTGATGGACTACCCAGCCGGAATCAGGTTTGCCCAGCAGAGAGAGTCTGCTATGGGAGGCAGGGGACGCTGCACAGGTGAGAAAACACCCAGAGGCAGGGAAAGCACATGAGGCAGCCACACGCAGTTCACCAGAGAGGCACAACGCGGCGGCACTCAGAAATCTCGCTGGTTTCACCTAAGCCTTCCGCCAACTCTCTGGGGCATCTCAGAACACCTACACGTTCGCACACACTTAGATGCCGTGACCCTCAACCGCGCCTCCGCTCCCTTCTCTACGCTCGCCGTCCTCAAAGCACATTCCAGGCAGCGGCACAGCCTTCCCTAAGAGCGGGTCGGTCGGCGCCTGGCTCGGCCCTCCTCGAACCCCTAGACGCTGCGGCCACCACCGCCCCACGGTGGGGCTCAGCGAGGCTCACACCTCCCGGCTGCCGTGCAGACAGCTGGCCGCCACGCGCAGGGTGGCGAAGGATCCGCGCCCCGCGTGCCTGGCTGGTGCCCACGGTCCCCGCTTGAGAACACGGGCCCGGGACAGGCACCTGCGGACACTCACAGCGCCCTTTTCTGCCCTCGGGCCTCCGTGACCCCCGGGCGCCGGCAGGAGCCTGCCACTCCCCCACGCGCACGAGGGCGTCCGGCGTGGCGGGTCTCAACCTCCCACGGCTCGGAGGTGGGAAGGGGGCACGGGCCTCACTCCCGTGTCCCGGGAAGGCAGGTGATGCCCGAAAAGCTGCCAGACGACCGAGCGGCTCCGGAAAACCCACTCCTCGGCACGACCGCAGTCCGGAGTCCCAGCCTGTGCGGAAACGTCGCCGCGCTCCCCTCCCCGGGTTCGCTTCCCGGGAGGCTCCGGCCCGCGCGCCCCGCTCGGCGGCCCCGCGGCGCCCATCACACACCTGCGGCGCCCGGGACCGCCCGCGGCCGCCCGCTCGCGCTCGGGTCGGGTCCGAGCAGACGGCCGCGTCCGTCTTTGTCACCGCGGCGCCCGGCGCGCGGGGGCCCGGGGGAGCCGCCCGGGGAACGGACCCGCGCGGGCGGGGCGGAGCAGGGCCGCGCGGGGCCGGCGGAAGGAAGAGCCGCCCCGCCCCGCCCCGCCCGCGCCCGGCCCCCGCCTCACCTCACGGCCTGCGGCTCCCGCGCGGCGCCCGGCCGAAAGCCGCCCCGCGGCGGCGGAAGTCCAGCGCGGCCGTCCGCATCCTCCCCGCGCGCCCCGCCGGCGCCCGGCTCCTCTCCCGGCGCGTCCACGCCGCGTCTCTGGCTCATCCGGAAAGCCGCGGCTCGGCTCGGGGGCAGATGGGGGCGCCTGAAAGACAATCGCGCTGCTCTGGCCGCCGCCCGCGGCTTCCCGAGCGCCGGGGCCGGGCCGGGGGGGCGGGGCGGGGCCGGCCCGGGGCACTCACCGCCGCCGCGCGTCCCTGTTGGCGGGCGCGCAGGCCGTTCGCCGCCGCCGCGCGCCGGACGCCGCGGGAAGGAAAGGCCGGAGCCCCCGGGCTCCCTCCCCTGGGACACTTCCTGCTCCGCTCTAGGACCGGGGAGGTCTCCGCATCTCAGTGGTTCGCTCCCCCGCCCCCCGGCCGAGGTGTGCGCCGGGGGTGACACCCGACACCCCCGGCCCGCCCCGCGCCGCGCGCGCCCGGGCCTGGCCGCCGGGCCGGGGGCTTTGTGGGTCGGCCGCGTCGCCGCGCCCGGCCTCCCCGCGGGCCCGCCAGGGGGAGGCGCTCGCGGGGGCGGCCGCGGTCCGGAAGGGCGGCCCGGGGGCTCTCGGCTCCGCCGGTCTCGTTCCTGCGGCGCTCCCGGGACGCGCCGGCCGGTGGGCGCCCGGAACGGCCGAGGCTGGCAGCTGGAACTGGGGTGCGGGGTGCAGAGTGGGGGGCGGAGCGGGGGGACTCCCCCGCCGAGGGACGCGCTTCCGGGCCTGACGCCCACGTGCGGGGTCCCGGGATCGCCGCTCCGAGGACGGGACAGCCCTGGGGAGGGCGCAGAGGGGCTGCCGTGAGTCCGGGCCCGGAGCGGGGTCGGGGAGGGGCCGCGGTGGCGCAGGGAGGGGGTGGGCAGGCAGAAGTTAGGGGACCCCACCTGAGACGGGGCTGCCGGCCCCTCCGTGCGCCGTCCCCGGGGCAAGCTCGTTTTTCGGGCTCCAGAGCTTGAGAGGACGTGCTGAGGTCCCTGAGCAGGCCCGATTCCCCGCGCCCCGCTCCGTGTTCCGGGGGGACTCCGGCGCCCCTTTCCAGGGCAAGCAGAAGGACGTCAGGGTCCCCAGAGAAGGGGGCCCCGCTGAGTGGATGGGACACGGTGGTCGGACCGGGGCGCAGGCTCCGTCGCGCTTCTCACCTCGGGGCCGTGGGCCTCCTGCTCCGGGCGGAGCCTCTGCGCGCCGCGGGCTGGCACCGTCCACATTCCGACCGAGCGCGGGAGCGGAGCGCCCGTGGGGGAACCGTGACCGTCCCCCGGATGACAGCCCGATGCCAGGCAACGGGGAGTCAGTGTGGCGTTTCGTTTTAGGGGCCGTCTTGGCTCGCCGCGGTGCTCGGTTTCTGTTGAGACACCGGTCAGGCTGTTTCTGGGAGGCTGTTTTAAAGATGTGATGAGCAGTTCAATCCGTGGCCTTTGACTGCCGCGGGTCACCCTCCGGGACGTGGGTGGGCCCTGTCGGATCTGCTGAAGGCCCCGGGAGCAAAGCCTGCGGCCTCCCGAGGAAGGAGCTCCGCCCGCGGCGCCTTGGGACCGGCTGCAGCCCCGACTCGGGATCTGCCCCCGCGCTGCAGTTTGGACTCACAAGCCCCTGCAATCTACGGAGCCCATCAGTTCCCTAAGAGAAAACGATCTCTCTCTCCTCTCTCTGTTGATCTCTAGCTCTCTGTCCCCCACCTCTCCCTCTCCCCGCTCCATAAGCTGTTCGTTCTGTTTCTCTGCAGAACCCTGACTGCGACCCAGGGCCCTTAGCTGACGGGAGGAGAGCGGGCGCAATGTGAGAGCAGGAGGCAGAGGGCGGGAGACAGTCATCTTGCAGAGTGGAAAGGAATGGACGATAGCAAAGGCAAGTGTGAATGAGGTATAACCCTAAAGTGAAGTGTGCACAGGGAAATGCGCTGTGTGGCTTAAAGCCCAGGGCTGTGCAGGTGGGCAGCCATCACATTGACGTCGGCCCCCTGCGGAGGAGGCCATCGTGCCTCAAAACATGCGTGTAGACTACAACAAACACAAGTGTGCAAATGTGTGAAGCGCCACCACCCATCACTGGACCAACCGCACCTGCCTTCTCTGGGAGCTGTCAGAACTCACAGGCCCCAACCACAGCCTGAGTGCTAACCAGGCAGCAGGGACTGGGTTGTTTTTTTGCAGTGTGAGAAGCTCTGTTGTAAGCTGGGCATAACAAATGCTCAATAAACTGTGCTTTAGGAACAGTCCTCGGAAAAAGTGCTAGTTCTTACTGTGTTGGTCACAGGCTTGGAGGGGGCATGGACAGCAAAGCATTGCTCTGGTCCCTTATCGTGGCCTGTGGAAAGGGGTTAGTGAGAAGCTGTTCGGTGAAAGAGCTTTGCATGATTATATTTTTTCACTATAGAGGCCTCTCAACTGTCACAGAGGCCTGTTCATCTTTTTTTTTTCTTTTGTTGAAAGCAAAAACACTTTGAGGTCTGCAGATACACCGACATAACCCTCTCTCAGAAGCTCCAGTGAAAGTACCTCTAAAAATGTCGGATTTATCATTAAAGAGATGACATCTCTTTCTTTGAAATCTGTATTGGATGCTACAGTCAAGAAAATAAAGCAGAGACCCCAACCATTGGTATTTAGAGCTAATCTTGAGCATTGGGTGGTTAATGCTTATTCATCCAGACCATCAGGGACAAGCTTGTACCTTGACAAATTCAGATTTGCTGAAATGACCGGATTGATCGTCTTGATGCAGTGAGTGGGGCACCCAGAGGAGGCGGGAGCGTGGCTTGATCAGGGGAGACATCTTTGCAAGGTTTGGCTCCAGGTGGAGGATGGAGGAGGGTGAGGATGTCAGGTGTGATATAAATGTGAGAGTAAGTCTCCCTTGTGGGATCTTTTAACCCAAGTGGCTGCAGCAATTGGAGTCCAGGAATGATATGCAATTAAAGGATTTGTTACGCTCAAAGGCCCTGGAGAGGTACAGGGGCCATGTTGGAGGACCGCGAAGGGAGCAGGCTGCGAAGTGCAGGTGGGGAGCCAAGAAAGAGAACCTATGGACAAGCACCCATGTTGGGGGGTCAGGGTGGGGTACACCACGAGCAAAAGGTATGAGGGGATTTTACTGGTGCATGTTGCTGGGTCACAGGGGAAGGACCTCCAGGTGGTGACCAGGCTTATCACACCAGTGTGCCTAGCTGCTTGGGGTGCTCAGCCTGTGTGTGATGGTGAGGCCTCATGGAAGCATGAGGTTTTAATAACTGATCATGTCAGGGAAGTGGGAGTCAAATCTGCACTGGTTGTTGTTTAGAGGTGGGCTTGGGAAAAGTTGGGGTTCACTGAGGTCTATCGGCTGTCAGGAGGCAAGAGTGGCTTAGTCATTGAGTTCCCCCAGTCACAAATGAGTGAAGCAAGGGGTCCCTCTGTCAAGTGGCTGTTGTGGCATTTCACCACTTCCGCAAGACGTTGGGGGAAACCGTGTCCTGTGAATGCACAGCGGGTTACTTGTCTGTCTCCTTAGCCTGATGAAAGGCAGGGCTACCTGTTCTTTTTTTCAGTCCTTGCAAATTTTCTCACTTTCGCTCCTGGAGAGGTTTTGACTCTCTTAGGAGGGAAACACCCTGATCATTACAGTTCTGCAGATATTTCCATGAATGTGAGTTTGATCCTTCGTGATCTTCTTTGCTGTCTGCTCCTTAAGTGCTTTGAATCCCTAAGGATAGTGGTCAGGGACCCAGTGTTACAGGTATGTAGGGGTGTGTGTGTGTGTGTATGTGTGTGTGTCTGTCTGAGTGAGGGACCCAGTGTTACGGGTGTGTGTGTGTGTGTGTCTGAGTCTGAGTGAGGGAGGGATGAGAAAGCAGACTTTGTACAGCATCTGTTCAGCATTTGCTGAATCACTCATTTGCTGGGCGTATTATCTGTATTTTACTGCCGAATTCTCAGCTCTATTCCAGGAAGTTGGAGCCTTGAGTAGAGTTTGGAATTTGCCTTCCAGGAAAGAAGGGTTTGCTGCAGGCCTCAAATGGGGTGATTGGTTTCTGGGTGAGTAAATGCAGATCCTGTATATTGCAGGACAGTGTTTTGGTTGATCTAGTAAAGGGGGAAACATCCTTACTGACAGTTCTGGAATTTTATGTCCAGCTATTCCTTGTATGCCGTGACAGTTAGGAAAATTTAAAAAGTAACTATCTGGCTGGGCATGGTGGCTCATGCATGTCTATAATACCAGAACTTTGGGAGGTCAAAGCAGAAGGATTGCTTGAGTCCAGAAGTTTGAGACTAGCGTAGGCAACGTAGCAAGAACCTGTCTCCACAAAAAACTTAAAAATCATCTGGGCAAGTGGCGTACACTTGTAGTCCCAGCTGCCTGGGAGGCTGAAGCAAGAAGATCGCTGGAGCTGAGGAGTTGAGCTGAGGAGTTGAGCTGTGATTGTGCCACTGCACTCCAGCCTGGGCGACCGAGCGAGACTGTCTCAAACGAAACAGCTGTCAGTTCTGTTCAGCTTCCTGCCATCTTGCTCTTTCCATAGCATTTTCTGAAACTCAAGTCGCCTTTGACATCTCAGCATTTCTCTCGTCACATCTCGTATTTGCCAATTGATATAAAGTCTGGCAGCCTCAATGTGTCTTAGGTTTATTTTTTTCTGTGCAATACTGCCTAGAAGCCCTAACGTAGGCTGGGTGCAGTGGCTCACGCCTGGAATCCCAGCACTTTGGGAGGCTGAGGCGAGTGAATCACAAGGTCAGGAGTTTGAGAACAGCCTGGCCAATATGGTGAAACCCTGTCTCTACTAAAAATACAGAAATTAACTGCGCATGGTGGCAGGCCCCTGTAGTCCCAGTTACTCGGGAGGCTGAGGCAGAATTGCTTGAACCCGGGAGGAGGAGGTTGCAGTGAGCCAAGATTGTGCCACTGCACTCTAGCCTGGGCGAGAGATTGAGACTCCGTCTCAAAAAAGAAGAAAAAGGAACCCTAATCTATATCCTGATTCCACCTCAGAGCAGAGATCTCATCCTGGATCCCACATCCCAATGTGTGTCCTGATTGCAGCTCAGAGCTGAGACTTCTCCCTGGCCTCAACATCTCTCTCTAGCCTGTTCACTAAGGTGCAATTTAAGCCATGCTGTCCTGGGTATTTTCCCTCTGTCAGACCCAGGTACAGGGAAATTCTATCTCTGTCCCGTTACTGTGTGTATTACTTAAGTAGTGGGAGGTGATAGGTTAATTTTTCCATTCATAAACCATTGATACAACACCTGGCTCAAATGGATAAAACAGAATCTAGTACATAATCCGTTCCCAGTGCAGAGTTAGAGACAGTTCACAGGTGACTGCTCATCACGGTCCTTCTTCCTCCTCCATTAGCTGCTTGTAAACTTTTAAACTTGTTAGTGTATGACATCTCTCATTTTAGTGTATGGTAGTCGGCCCTCCTGCCAGTGAACACTGTAATAATTAATTTTAGGTGTCAAAGTGACAGGGCTAAGGGATGACCAGATAGCTGTCCTGGGTATTTTCCCTCTGTCAGACAATCATTCCAGGTGTGTCTATGGGGGGTTTA